ATTGAGAAGCAGGATTGCCAGCACAGTGGGTTGCCTCACGCACTTGGTCACGCGAAGCAATCTCATGCACCTCCTCAACTGCAATGACTGGGTCACCAAACTCTCCATTCTGAGCACGCTTCTCCAAGTTCTGAGTGGTGCCTACTTGGAGAGCCATGGCCAAGTCACCATTGGCCTCTGCCAAGATTGCGGAAGCTGGTCCATTGCTGAAGCCACAATCGTTCATCACTTTGATGTTGTCCTCCACCTGGCACTGCTGCTCAGCCAAGGTAGCTTCCATCTGTTCGTTGATCACTTTTGGATCTCTCCCGTAAACCCTGACAGGTTGCGCACCATGAGAAATTCGTTACGCATCTCAGAAGACAGGTTTGGGGGAATGTTCTTCACAAACTCATCTCTGCTGGGGAACTTCACTGCGATCATGATGGCATCCTCCAAAGACCAGTCGAAGGTAGGGTCTTCGTCATGACCCTGTGTGTCATCAACCAGTGTAGAGGGCTCCTTCATTTGCACAGTTGATGAACATATATATATAATTAAGAATGTATACGTATGAATGATAAGTTGCTGAGCCAAGTCAACATTCAGGGTTTCCAAGCCCGGTCCTGTTTGGTTACTGGCGTCTCATTCTCCGTCTCTGACTCCACCATGACAACTTGACCACAGCCTGCGCAGACTGTTCATGGCCGGCTATGATAACATGTAAAATATGGTAACCACTGATTTCCAACTAACCTCCCCGCCTGATTTTGCAGTGTTTCTTTTGCCACGGCAAGACTTTCGAGCCCGGCGCGGATTTGGCTGTAAAACGGCCCGGAGTTGAACTGCAATCTCACTCTTTGAGTTTCTTTGAACTGCCTTTCGCCAATAACGCCTTGTATAACTCAACAAAGCTTGAAGTACATATGATTCCTGAGTTACCCAGCCGAAGCAGAACATGTTGCTGAACATACCGTGCATGACAAGTGAAACCACTTGTTCACAACAACCGAGTGTCATTCTGTGCCCAACGGATGCGATCCTTCTTGTACCTAGCCTGACTTAACTTGAAGTCGCCCTCACGGTCCAGATGCCGAAAAACATTGTCAGTATGTCCCGCACAAATATCCCCTCAGTTGATCATAGGCAACTGACGTTACATTTGCACATGTTAATGCACATTATAGATGTATATGGTACCATGCACACCATGTGGGACCAGCTGCCTTGTGGAGAAATCTCAAAGATGCCTATGATGAGCGGTAGGTATGTTTCCATGTCGGAGTAGCCGATGTCATACGAGCTGATGTCCGGAAACAAGGTGTTATCAGGCTTCTTGGTCTCTGCACACGAAACAAAGGCGTCAAGAGGTAGGTGCAACTTGATTGCGCCTTACTGCATCTTGAGTTATCAACTTGTTCCAGGGAAGTTGCCCGTGAACCCACATAAACAGATAAAAGGGTTAATGAACACAACTCAAGGTTCTCTCTATTTGTTTTTCGATGCCATGCAAAGGTGGAGCCAAAGATAAAGCCATTGCAAACTCATAAGAACTGAGCTTGAGCCCTGTCTATCCGGAAACCATGTAATCCACCCTGAGACCCTGTCCCTTGACATCCTTTCCCACCATACAGTCCTCAAGTGCAATGCCGGCCAGGCATTGAAAGACCACACTTGAAGCGGCATCGGCGTTGTCACAGAAAAAGCGCTGAATGGCGCCATTCCCTGTGGTCATAGGTCGACTAGAAAATTCAAATTGATCTTACATTGGGCTCATGGTCACACATGGGATGCATAGTGATGGATTCAGGAAGCTCAGGATCGCTAAAGGTGGATTCAGACATCTTTGTTAAATGATTCTTCAGATGCACTCAAATTTGATCCCAATTGGCCATGGTACCTCGTGGTACCTCGGATCGATAGATACCAAGGGTCAGAACCCTCCTCACGAGGTTCCAGGGGTCCGACCCCTGCCATGGAGAGCCCGACCCCTGCCATCGACAACCCAAAGATTGTTAGGGTACTAAAATTCATAAATTTCGGCCCAAGACAACGTTCTTGGTATTAAGCTGTTTCTGGTTGGGACTGGGCTTCCAGGTTCAAATGGGTTCTCGCTGAGCGCGTTCTTGTTCCTCGAAAAAGCCCACGCCTCGTCCGCCCGTTCGGCATGATCCACCCACTCTGGCGGCAAGCCTCGGAATCGAACCGCCACCCGGTGTCTTTAAGAGATTATGATTAGGAGTTGGAACATCCTGCTGGTACCAAGGATTCTGTGCTTGGGATGCCTACTGTACAAGTATCCCTAGTTTGGGTGGCGTGTAGGGATTTCAAGAATTTGGAATTTGATTTGCGCAGAATTCCCTGGAGGGAAAGACCTCAGGAGCACTGCTGGGTACTTGGCAAAGTACATTATATACAAGACCCCCACCCTGGATGCATCACGGATGCATCACAACGCTACGCCAAGACGTGGAGGAGGAGCGTCTGGACCTTTTGAGAGATTTGGGGGCGGTCGAGTCAACTCACCAACGACAGGCAGGACCTGTGCATTTGTAGCCTTTGGGTGTGTTTTCTCCTTACTCCAGCTCCGACTGAAGCCATGTTCTGAGACAGGGAACGGGTCCAAGTGCTTTTGGTTCTTAAGAGCAACGTCGCGACGTGGTTCCGTGTTTCCGGTCTCCCCAACAAAGGCTGGCCCACCGACCCACCTGCGCGGTATGCGAATGGACCAGAGAGGCCCAGCCCAGTCGGGTCACTCGGGTCCGGGGATCTGATGAGGGACGGAGGCGAGTTGGGTATGACAAGACGACAAGACCTTCAAACATGAGGAGAGGCAGGATCTGAGGAGGCTTGGTTGACTATGGTTGACCTACCTTTGACCCATCCTCATGTTTCCAAGTACCTGGAGTCTCAGTTCGTATCTCGCAAAATGGGTACAAGTACCTGTTTTGGGGGGTCATGTCATGTCCCATGTTCAAAGATACTTTGAACGGACCAGGTACTTAGAGACTGCAGGTCTATGAATCCTATTGAACCCTCAACTATCAGGGGGGGTTACCACGCGCACACTGTTCCTACCGCCACGACTGGGGCGCCGAGCTGGAACGGTCGGCTCGGGGACTGGCCTGTGGCAGTCTGTGGCGCTTAAGCACGCCATCTAATAGCGGGCCCATCCAGGACCATCCCGTCCTGGTCGGGACGGTGTCTCATTTCTACGATCTTGGATACAAACAGGGGTCCTAAATGACTGGGGTCCTAAATGACTTGGGCCGTGAGCATTGGCGTGAATCACAAGAAGCGACCTTCGACGTAGACCGTTCTTTTGCTTTCAAACGGCTTCTGCGAGATCGCACGTTGACGGAGATGGTCTACCCCTTCTTGGCACCACTGACCGATTTTGGAATCATGGGCTGCTACGAGTATGTAAATGCGTGTGGTTTTCTGGGCGTTGCAAGGCTGAAGCAGCTGAAGCAGGGGAGGGCCTTTTTGGATCCTATAGGAATTCAGGGTTCTAAGTTTTAGTAAGACCAGGAGCCCCGTTCGTAGCGTCCGTGCTCCTACTAGCGATGCCAGGAGCCCCTAGTAGCTTCTTGCTCCTATAAAAATTGTGGGTGATCGAACTCCGAGGAAATGCCCAAGCCTTACAAAAAGAATCATACTCACAGGCAGTCCAAATCTGTAAATTGCCCTTTTTTTGCTTCTTTGCCTCACAAATCCACACCCTGCCAAAAACAAACACCATATAATGCTCCTGGCAAAATGCAGTGTTGTCGTCGCTGCGCAGTGGCTTCACGATCTTAAAACAACTGAAAACTGCAGTTTCTCTGACGACTGCATGATCAACCACCAAAATTCTACAGGAAAACCATCTGTAGCCATCACCTACCGGTTTTCACGGCTGGTGTCTTCTGGGTCATTCCAATGACCATTCCACTTTCATCCACTTTCATCCGTGGCGGGCTTCACGTAAAAGGCCATGGACGTCATCATCTGTTTCATAGGTCAAATAGTTCGTTCCCAACTCCTCCATATCCACATCGGCCGGGGAAGTCTGTTGCAACCTCCCACGTCTTTGAGATATGCAGCAGGCGGCCAAAAATAAAAGCAGAAATAGTAAGCATCCCACCAGCAGCACATTCTTTTGGACCAAAACCTCCAGGGAGTCCAGCACTTTGGGGCTTCTCGCCAGAGCCCAGACCCCGAAATGAGATGATGTGTTCAGCATTGGCAAAAAGGCGAGAAAACCTGCTGTCAGTTCCTTGCCACATTGCAACGCCAATATGGCAGGTTGTTGAAAGTGGTGGTGCCCTCGCAACTCAATGGCGAAGGAAAAGGGCACATGCAAATTCGCATGTGCATCATCAAAAATGCACCCAGGAACTTGGTAAATCGTAGTGGCAGCCCGACCCTTGTGGTAGCTCGAGCGGTGGCTCTGCCGCGCCACCTGATTCATGGCATCCGCGATCGCTACACGTGCCAGGCGCAGGGAATCCTCAGCCAGGGGAGGTTCCATGGTGTAGGCATAGGGTGAAAGGACCATCTGAGCAGCAGAGTGCCTTGGATTTGCTTCAGGAGCCAGAAGAACGCACTCTTCCCCATGCAGAAGCGGATTTGCATGGATTTACCCCATCTGGTGCAAAATAACAGAATCGCCCTAAGCAAAACCAAGGTGCAAATCGAAAAAAGTGACAAGACGCCCGCGAACGGATCGTGTCTGCAAAAACGACCGCAACACACGGGTTTCTACCGCATCCAGTGGAGTCTTCCCAGGGAAGAGCTGATCACAATCATCGCTGCCGGCCCATGCGATGTCGGCATTCCGGTTGAGGTCGATGCCCATGCAGCCCGGAGTCTCCTGGCGATTCTTTCTCCAAAGCCTGTCTGTGGTCCAGGTGTACTCGTAGCCATCCACATTCAGCACAGGGATCAAGGTCCATGCTAGCCCGCTATTGGTGGAGTTGCGCAAAAGCCACTCTGCCACGTAAATGACGGTACTCGCAGCAATCCACTCACGTGCATGTATGCAGCCGTTCACCACGATTTCGTATGGCTCCCCAACGCCCACATGCAATGCTCGAATTGGTCGCCCGTGTGCTGAGGTACCAAGTGTGATCAAGGTTGCTCTGCCACCAAACTGAACTGCCAGCTTCTCCAGCTTATCTTCGATTTCAGAGAGGGGGTGCCAGTCCTGAAACCAGTTTTCCCATTCACTTGCGGCCAATGCCCTCGCCCTCTGGGCCCTCCACGGCTGAAATGACGCTGCAAGTGCCGCCGCCACATCCTCCACTTCCAGCGTCGCGTTGAGGTCGAGCAGTTCGTGCAGTTCCGGACGCTGCGCAGCAGGAACGTGCAGCACCACTCGGTCGCCTTGGCCGATCTGATCGGGGACCAAGCCCCGAGGCACCGAACTGAAACTAGCTGCCCTAAGAATCAAGGACCCTCAAAGGTGCAGGTTTGGTTCAGGTCCAGACCCCTGCGTTCTGCACGGTCCAAGCCCTCCAGAAGTGGTCGGGTCCAATGATTCTTAGGATGCGCGGGTGTCACCAATATACCCTTAGAACGATCGTACCTCTTAAAATGGGTCCCATGTTCAGTACTTCAGAGGGTCCAGCTAGGTACTGGACCTGTTTTGGGGCTTTCACCCATGGCGGTTCCCAGGGACTGGAAGAGATGCCGCCCCAGAAAGACCCCGAATAAGACTGACATTCAAAAAAACATCCAGGTAAGGTACATAGGCCAGTCCCATGGATGGTCTGGGAAGAGAATCTGGAAACAAACACACACATTGCTGCAACCAGGCTGCCTTCGTGGGAGATGATATCCAAATGGCGGAGTCTCGCCAGCTTGTTCGCGACGGCGATCGGCACCCCAAACCAGGCATCGCCGGAATATCTGGAAATGGCGGCATGAGGCGGCATGCTGTCAAATGACCGTCTTGCTTTTTGCAAGCAATATTGTGGAGCCAAAGCCACACCCCGAGGGTCCAGGACCATCTTGAGGATGTTCTATGGGACAGTACTGCTAAATGATGCCAAATGTATACTGGGTCTAGTTGTGCGGCGCGGGAACAGAACACTACTCTACGAAATATAGACCAGCTATACCCTACTGTTCTAATAAAACCCTTCGACAAGGTAGAACTGTACCAATTTTCGGAGGTACGACCATGTCAACTCCGGATAGATGAACCCAGGACATGGATCTGATTGTGGACCTTCATTGTAGGCTTGGAGGAGGCTTGGTGTTTGTCATGAAGCCCCGGAACCTTGGAATTCCGTTCTTGCATCCAACGGTTTGAGGCCCTTGGTTCCGCTGGAAAACCTGCTCCAGATTTGAAGGGTCTGTGGAACGGGGAGGGAGCAAGACCACTCGAACATCTGACCCATGCAAAATCGATCCTTCATTGGACTCTTGGCATGTGTCTTTTTCCAAACACAAACGATCAGTTTGACCAAACATGAAATGCTGCGAGTTGTAAAGGCACAATCAAAGCACTATTCGACATGAGGTAGACCAGGACCAGGTTTCGACCTGGGTCGAACTGGACCTGTCAGCCTGTAGGGATATACATCGATCTACATATATATATATATAATGGAAATCCTCATTGAGCCGATCAATAATCGATCAGCTCAGCATGTGAAGTCATACCTGGAGTCGACCTCTTCGTACCTCAGAAAATAGGGCCCCAGTCGTGCCTGCTTTTGCATCCTTATCCAATTTTCAGGTCTGTTTGGCAGGGGCATCCAGCTGATTGCCCAAGGAGAGGAACCCAACACACACTCCATCGGCTGCACACCAACCACACCACAAATGCGCAAGTCGCTCCGCATGAAAAGCAAACTGACCGCATAGTATGATATCTACTTATGATTCTGTCAGCAACGAAAATCCTATTAGACCTTGGTGCGAAACTAGCACAAACCTGTAAGGAGCCAGATGCTTGTCCATGTGTTCCATCGGTTTTTTTCCGGATGTTTGGACAAAGAATGGGGGCTCCGTCCGACTTGTCGGCCGTCCGACCAAAGACCTCGCTCCCCGTACGACCTCGTCTTCTTGTAAGAGCGGCTGACTGCCCGGATAGCCTGGCATCCATCCCACAGCTGGTCAGGTTTCGCTGTCGACAGCATATCTGGTTGGTGTTTTCAACCCACGAAGGACAAATATATGAGTCAAAGGGTCTAATCATCCCCAGGGTTGAAAAAACACATATCCGAAACCATCACCTATATAGATATTTTTGTATGAGTGGAGACCAAGCGCGAAAAGACCTCCCTGATTCCGGGGTGTGGAGACCTGTCGAACGGATTTCTGGATCTTCCTGAGTCACAACCTTTTGCTTTGAGGATGTCCTCAAGGACGTCCCAGGGGTGAACTCCAAGAGGTCGCTGTTTGTACGATCGAAAACCCTTTTTTAAGCTCTATTTTCCATATGTCTATGCTCTGTCTATGTAAATCTGAGCAGCTTTGCGGAACTTTGGTGGGGGAGACGCCAAGTGGTACTAATTACTTAGGTTTGTTTGTTTGAGAAATCCCGCACTTGCTGAAATTGTCCGATTTGGAGGTTCCAAGCCCGACTTCAAGTTCCCCGGAAAATGGGACATGTGACATGACCCTTCAAATGCAGTTATAGTATGTTATAGCTGTACCAATACTATCTTGCACTGATTTTCCGAGGTCTTTTGAGACTCCCCAAGTCCTTGCATGCAATACATGAACTGTTTCACGCAAACAGCCTCTATGCAAAATCTTGCTCGAGCTCTTGTAAAGCCAACGACACAACAATCGAAACACATGCGGACATACGGTCAAAACCCACAAGCTAACAAGCTTAGGACTTGATGGGCACAACAAGCATCGTGTGAAGGTATATACCCTGAAACTGAAGCTTCCTTGCACTGGAAAAGACAAGGGAATGGGAAAGACACTGATACATATAACGTGTATTATAAACTATTAAACCAATATATAAACCACATCTTTGGCAATCAATCCTTGGACCAAGCTATCGCTTCACAAAAAAGGTGAACAAATGCAAACCCCACTGGTCTACTCTTTGCTGCGTTTTACCCTGTTCAAACGATGGTTCACCATGGTTCACCCCCCCAAGGGCACTCGCGGTTGGAGACCTTTCGTTCATCAACGAAAAAAGAAGCCCGCCTGGCTTCGCCGACCTGAAGCAAACGATGATGTCCGTACTTGAAAATAAAATAAGATCTTGATTCATAAACCCCCCATATATCAAGACGTTGTTCAATCCAAATGGGGTGGCTTTAGGAATCAAGAGTCTACAATAGAGGAGTCGGTGCCAGGGCCAATGTACCAATTGGTTGTACACATTCAGTATCTGCGTGGGTATCCTCCATTAATCAACCAACTCATTGCAAAGAGAATCTATGCCTCTTGGTCCGAACGTGAACCCTCCATATTGTGGCTTCGAAAGTGGGGGCATGACCCGAACTTAAAGATATTATACAGTAATACAATATTGTTACTCATTTTCCGAGCTACTGTTTTTTTCGAGCCTGGACAGTTGCCAATCTTTTGGAAGCCCGGTCACTATACCCAGCGGTTCTAGTTACCTGATGAGGATGCTTTCTGGGGTGAGTATATACATACTTCCAAAGGATAGTCGAACTGGGGCTAAAGGACATGCTCATGCAGGTCCTAGTCCTAGACCCTCTCGGTAGAGTAGAGTCTATAGAATGACCTTCCTGGAAAATTGCGCACAAATCAGTCATCCGGGTCAACGATTTTTCAAAGCCCACCAAAGAATCAAGGATGCCATGTTGGCCATGTTGCTCACCAGTGGTTGGATTCACTGGGAGGGGTCTGACGAACAACTGCGGTGCTGAAGTGAATCTAAACCATCCACAAACCCAGGCTGAATCAGTCCTACCCCTCAGATTTTGCCTCTGCACCTCATAAAGCAATCAGGCAATTGCTACGGATATCACGCTTCAGGTGTTTCTTCCGATGAAGAACAACTTCTCACATCTTCCAAGGGACGAATTTTGGACCCTTCTCAAAACCACCACCACGAAACACTTAACAGAGTATGATTTGGGTAATTAACTAATATATTATCTCATTACCAGTGGATGATTATTAGTACAGGCCTGTTCTTTTTTTCCTAACATATAGTGATAATCATTGTTTACCAATTGTTGCAGGTCATAGGATAGACCCCAAAGTATTGGGAATAACACCATGAGGACGTTTGAGCCAAAAACACCAAACCGCCGACACTCGCTCCGCCCGGCTCCGAGACTCGCCTCGCCTCTTCCGTTCGGCCTTCTTGCGACGCCACGTCCTTGGAGGATGAAGCCAAGTCTCTCCCTCAGAGACGATGGCTGGTTTCAGAGCCATTTTTTCCAATGTTTTCCAATGAAAAGGGGTCCAGGAGGTGGAAGTGGACTTCCAAACGCAGGAACCAATTGGCTCAGTGTTGGGATGCACCCGCAGTCTACGTCCAAAACAGCTACAGGAGGTTGAAAGCCACCGAAGACTGTTCGTTGGGAATCCTGGCTTCTGTAAATGATGTGACCACCCTTTCTTGACCTGACAACTCAAGCAGTTCCTGCTTGAACTCAGGAACCGGTCTTTTCGGGTCTTCCCTGGTCGTGCGTCCAACTTTCAGTCCGCGAAGACAGCCCTGTCGTCCATCAACACCTCGAAGGGATTTCAGAAACGCCATCCGTTTCCAAAACAATGTGGGCCCTTGTCGGCCAATCGCTTCAGAAGAAGAAGCCATCTGGACAGATCCACTCCGCTCGCGGAAGCGCCAATCGCTCGAGGCCCTGACGGAGTGAGATCGCGTGTGACCTCAGACGCGGAGATGTGGGACCAAGCAGGAATCCTTATAAGGGGGGAACAGCAAATCGCTTCTGATTGGTGGGACATATCATTTAGCCAAATCTGAGTTGGTGGGATCAATCATCATCAAGGGTTGAACATCATATTCTGACCACTGCCAGGCTTCTGCAGGCCCACGGGTTGCCCCCGGACCTTCCGGGGCAGTCCAGAACATGTACTGCACCTTCCTCAAATGGCTGTGGGTCATGGCAACAGGATACATTGCTTGGCCTACCGACGTCAGGTCTTTCGCTCAATGCTGGACCGTGCGATTTTGACCCATCCCCAAAGATTCCATCCAGCTGTCATCTGCTTGAGGCCCCTATCAAATTGAGGTCTAATATTGATCAAAGGAAAATATCATAGTTTTATATGTGTTTCAGTTAACAAAGGCACATAAAGGTCCCTATCATGAGCAAACCCCGACCACTGAGGGTCATTTGCATTTGATTCACGTTCAAAGCTCCCGAATCTTGACAGCCAAGTGGAACGTTTCAAAGGTACCTGGAGTCAACCTGTGAAAGTATCTCAGACCGGGTTCCTAGAAGGTCAGACCTGTTTTTGGTTCGGGTCGTGTCTATAGTTCCCGATTGTTCTTTCGATTGTGGGGGAAAGAACCGAGTGGTCCCAGTCGTGGGGGTCCGGATGATGCCTGTTTAAGGTCGATCACCTCTCTTCGGTGGTGCCCCAAAAAGGCCCCATGCGAGCGAGCACCATCGAAGCCATTCCGAGGTCTTTCGTAAGCGAGGTCGGCACGAGGTCGGCTCAGCTCGTGACCGACCGACCCATAGGACATCATAGGAAGCGGGCACTGATCTTGAGAATGAGATCGCCATGTAAAAAGTTCCTTTCTCTGGAATGAGCGATACAAGCTCTGGAATGAGAGCTACTCTTGTATCTCTCATTCCAGAGCTGAGCCCGGGCGGAGTGTCCCCCACTGAGTGCCACGACTTTGCGATCCAGGACCCCACACCAAGGGCGCCAGTCGTCCCTTTGCCATGGCCAGGTGTGGAAAAGCGCAGCGCCGCTCTGTCTGCCTTTGAAAGGAGTACTGTACCTTTTTGTGGAAGACCGCCGCTAAAACAAGACTTGTGATGCCTGGCCTCTTTTTGATTAACATATTAACAGTACCCAATGTGGGTTCGCCAATACATAAACGCATTATCACAGGGGTGTCAGAAATCTTGCAACCTGAAGCAATGAAAATCTGTTTCATGCAAGGTCTTTACTGTCAGGCTGCGGGCAAAAACGGCAACAAAACATATATAAACCTGCAGTCCCTTCTCACGGGAAGGATTATATTTTGATCGGGAAGGCAAGC